AGAATCTGGGGCAGAGACCCTACAGTCGGCCACTTCCTCATCTATCATGATGCTGGACAGCTCTTGATTCTGTGGAAATTGATGTCACCTTTATTCAAAGTGAGACTTTGGGATCCTTACAAATGTTGTGTAGGTGCTTAAGAATGTTTTTAGTTTTATAGGAAAACATTATGTTACTTAATATTTATGAAAATTAAAAATTATTCAAGTCACCACAAAAAACATAAAAGAAGATTGACCAGTAGACTTAGAAAAATAGCTGAAATCTGCTTATGGTAAAAAGGCCCAACTGTACAAAAGTCAGGTGATTGGGAAGTTCTCCCTAGGTATTTTCTGAGATCAAATATTACAGGACTGTATGTTTATATTAAATTTTAATATATGTTCATTATGAGATGAGGCTTGTTCTACTAAAGGCTAGGAAGTGATCAAATCAGTTCACATTCAACATGTCAAAAGAAAAAGCAACAAGCTGCTTTTGTTAAGTGATTCACATTAACCTCTTCCCCACTCAGGGTCTAAACCAGGGGTCCTCAAACTACGGCCCGAGGGCCACATGCGGCCCGCCGAAAACATTTATCCAGCCCGCTGGGTGTTTTTGCCGCTGCTGCCTGTTGCTTAGCAGCCAACTAGTTTTTTTTTTAAAACTATAGTCCGGCCCTCCAACGGTCTGAGGGACACTGAACTGGCCCCCTGTTTAAAAAGTTTGAGGACCCCTGGAACTAATTCAGAAATAGACAAGAGCTAAGTGGAGCATGAAATATGATCTTTATTAGCGATAAAGCTGAAATCAGAGAATGAGGCTTATCTACCACATATATAAAAGCCTAAGCGACCGAACAACCAGCACAACAGGTCAACTGGTCGCTATGACACACACTGTCCACCAGGGGGCAGATGCTCAACATAGGAGCTGCCCCCTGGTGGTCAGTGCGCTCCCACAGTGGGAGCGCTGCTCAGCTGACTGACCCATCCTGGTAGCTCACCAGCCCTTCGGCAGCCACTCCCTCCCTCAGAAGTCCTACAGGTCTAGTCTCCAGAGAATGGGCCAGGCACCAACAGACCAGCACCACCAGCACGATTGGACAGCGCCTCCAGCCTCCTGGAAGTTGGCCTCAGGCACCGCAGCCACATCCCCTCCCTAGACACTCCTCAAGGAAGAAAGGATATAACAGTGGCTGCCAGGTGGCTCCCGACAACCAGCATGAACATCAGCGGGATGGATCCGGATCCCGGGCTGGCAAGGGCATCCCACCGCCTGCCCGGAGGGCCGATCACATCCCCCCTCCACCCCCAGGACCCCACCTGTGCACGAATTCATGCACCAGGCCTCTAGTGTCTGTATAAAAGTAGGTTTCCTTATACCAAGCCCCAGAATCACACAGGCAAACCCATCCAGCCACACAACAATGGACCACCATGATTTTACAGCCTGCCCTTGTACTCTCCGTGAGCATCTTATTCCCAAGGAGAGAAGAAAGAGTGCTACTCATGCTCACTTCCTTGTCCCAAACTCACCAAGTAATCACAGCTCTAGGAATCTAAGCACAACTAGGAGACAGAACACAGTAAGTTTAACAGGAGAAGCTAAAACAATTGTTAAAGTAGGATAGAGTAATAGACATATGTTAAGAGAACTCTAACTGGTACCCTAGGGCTGAGGGAGAGTCCCCAAGGGAGGAGAAGCATGGAAGAGGCCCCCTCTGGCATTCAGACGCCATTGAAGAAGGTGTGGTTGCAGGCCACTGGCTGGTGCGAAAGTTTGCTGGTTTGCCGGCCTGGAGCTGGTTCAGAATCACCTGATAAGCAGGAAATGTGCCTCTGGGACACAAGCAAGGCAAGGCTGGTGAGCAGGCTGCAGAGGGAGTTAGGACATTCTGCAGGTGCAAAGCCAGGAGCAGACCTTTTCCACATTGGAAAGGCCTCGGGAACAGCGCTGTAGGAGGCTGGCAAGCTAAGACAGGTTGGGGGGGTGGGGGGGTGGGCTTGCCAGGGAGTTTGAGGCACTGCTAAAAGCAGGAGGCCGGCCTGCCACAAGGTGATCACCAGGCCTTCGGGGCCGGGCTGTGAGGTAGTCAAGGAACTGTGCATTCTGGGTATGCAAACAGAGCAAAGCGCCATCAGATGTCCACACACTGACACATACACACACCACTGACAGTGTATGCAGCCAGAGCAAGAAGAAAATCATTTCAGGACACTGAAACCTCCAGTACCCTCTACTTAACGTGCTCATTCCAAAGGAGAAACGCCTAGAGCCCAGGCCATCATCCCAGAGCAGGAGGAATTTGGAGCTGGTAAGAGGCTCAATCGACTCCTTTGACTATTCAACTTCTACCTGCACCCTTCTACGAGGTTTGAATTCCTGTACAACAGCAAAGCAATTAACTATATTTTAGTCTCACAAGATGCAGCTATCCTTCTGGCAGGTGAAGTTCTTGCCCTTCTCCCAAATGAGAAGACACAAGGCCCCAACAGTCATTGAATCCATTTTGCCGGCTATGTTGATTACCACTCAAATTCAGTCATGGTCCCCGTGAAGATTCTGTTAACTAAACACTATGGTACTTTGTAAAGTGGACGTCCACCAACTTTAACACATAAAATACAAATGGGAAGGAGGGGAAAGAAGAAAAGAGTCAGCATATATCAATAAACATGTCATATAACGAGAAAATATGCAAAGCTTCCACAGGCCTGGTCTTTTTAATTGGCCACAAGGAAAGTTGATATCTATAACCTTCACCTTCAACTCCCCATCCCATATTTTCCTTGCCCCAGAGCCAGAACTCACAGCTCTGGGTGCTTTACCTGGTGGAGTGATCCAAACCTTTCTTCTCCAGGGGTCTGAATCCTCAATCATCCTGCCTTTTTCTGGTTCCTGTAAAACCACTAACCTTTACCGTTGGCATGAAGTTTTAGGAAAAACCTTATAATAAATTTCCAGAATTTAGAATCATTTGCTGGTTCAGGCAAACCAGCAAACTCCCCTGTCACCACTCAATGGCCCGCAACTGCACCTTCCCAAACAGCATTTTCTAGCATGGTCCTCGTTGCTTCCGCCATAGCAGCAACCAATTTCCCTTGGTAATTGGGATCAATCATTCCAACCAGTAGATTAACCTGTTTTTCGCCTGTTGGTTCAGTGGTATAAGGAGTGCAAATGGCCAGGCGGCAGTCTGTGGTAGGCAGAATTCTAAGATGAACCCCACAATTCATGCCCTCTGGTGTACACACCCTGTATCATTTCTCCATGTGCATTGTTGGGGCCTGCAAATATAATTGGATATCACCTCCATGATTATGTCTTATGGCAAAAGGGATTTTGCAGGTGTCATTAAGGTCCCTAATCAGTTAAATAAAATCCACATGGAGATTATCCTGGGTGAGTCTGACTTACCTAATCAGGCAAGTCTTTCAAGAGTTCGTTCCCTTGCCAGTTTCGAAGAAACACAGCCCTGTTGTGAGAGGAGGGTCCATATGGCAAGTACCCGAGAGCAACCTCTAGGTCCAACGCCGCCTGCAGCTCTACCTACCTCCAGCCTCATTGTGCCTGCTGCGGGCTTGCGCCCTCTAGGTCCAACGCCGCCTGCAGCTCTACCTACCTCAGGCCTCATTGTGCCTGCCGCGCGGGCTTGCGCCTTATCAGTCCCAATCAGGAGAGGCTTGCGCTGTCACAGCAGCACTCGCCAGCCATGAGCCCAGCGTCTGGCGCCCTCCCAAGGGGAGTGGCCTACGGGATCTGGCTGAAACTGGCTCTCCGACATCCCCCAAAGGGTCCGGGATTGCGAGAGGGTGCAGGCCAAGCTGAGGGACCCCAGTGGTGCACGATTGAGCTGGGGAGGGACCGCGGGAGGGCTCCAGGGAGTGTCTGGCCCATCTTGTTCAGTTCCAATCTGCCAGACCCCAGCAGCAAGCTAACCTACCGGTCAGAGCATTAGTATAGCACTGGTGATCAGTGCACGTCAGTCATAGCAGCGGTTGAGCAGCCTTAGCATATCATTAGCATATTATACTTTGGTTGTTCTGCTGTTCAATCTATTTGCATATTACCCTTTTATTATATAGGATGAACTCATGCATTTAAACATATTTGATGTGTTGTCAAACCATTGTTATTATCTTTATTAATGCTTAAATCATGTCATCTTTGCCAGTGGGAACCAATTCAAGTTGGCTCTTCGATCCTTGTGGGATTGTCTTTGTTTTCCAGTATGCCAAGATGTTCCAGGCTCATATTGTAAATTCCCTGCCTGAAAGCTGAAATCCCCCCAAAATTCATGGAGCCTTAGTTCCTTTTAGTAGGAAATGGTATGTAGAAATCACAATCTGGGAATTACTTAATTGGTCATTATTTCTAGGCTTTTTAGTAAACAGAGCTAGAGCTTGTTGTTATGTTTTATAACTTTATTAAGATGAAGTACTTTATGAATTCATATTGATACTTAGAACTCAAGCACAGGATTTACTTAACTTTATCACTCTGGTACCTGGGCTTCCTTCATCATAATTCTTTCTGAATACAACTGGAATTGGTAGATCTTCCTTTGAATTATACTGCCCCCTTCAACAACTTTCATGGCAATCAACATATCACCTTTCATTTATTGTTCTTTTTTATATGTATCTTATCCTCCCTACCAAATGGTAAGCAATTTGAAGCCAGAAGACATGTCTTTTTACCTTGTTCAATAGGTAAAATTCCTAAAGTGCTAGTATATTTCCTGACACATAAGTTCCTTCTTCTTTATATCTCTCAAAATATGGGACAGTACTATACATAACTTTGTTATGTTTTTTTCTGGTGTGTTCCATTTTATTTTTTATATACTTGTTTGTTTATTTATTTTAATTTATACTTATTGTTGAAAATATTACAGATGTCTCCCATTGACCCCCCTCCACCCCACTCCTGCCCCCTATAAATTAGGTTTATACTCAACTTTTCAGATATAAAGTTACTAGACACTCTAATTTTAGTAGGAATTAGGATAAAGATATTAAAATTATTTGAAATAAGTTTTATTTCACAGATATAAAACAATTTTGAACATTTACAACTTGTACAAAGACTGGTAGCTTTTATATTTTAAAAAAGTGCTATACTAAGAGAATAGGGAAAATTAAAGACCACAATGACATTCTAAATTATAGGTTCCAGGAACGGGAATATGAAGAAAGTACACATTCTATTCACCTACAGAATCCTCAAACCATCTGAGTGAAGGAAAATGAATAATACTGGACTTGTGTGAAATCACACTTTGGTCTGTAAACACATTTAGCTTTGTTTTTCTTTCAGATGTCTACCTAAAAATTATATAAAATGTCACTAAAATTAGCCAGTCAAAGGTATACTAAAAAGAGGTAGGGAATGAAGATGAAAGAATTTATTTTGGCAGTTCTTCAATAATGATGCGAGACACTGAATTCCATCCAGTAGAGGCATCTCCTTTGGGGTAATCTGAACAAGTACCCACCCAGATAGCAATATCCACTAACCCGGCACCGATTCCTTCACAGAGTCCTTCCACTGCAAAACAGAGATGAGAGGAACATCTTGAGAGGACAAAGACCTTTAGTTAAATTCTGTTTTTCTTAGCACATAAATACTTTTAGAATACAAATATATACCCATTCTATGATATAAGCTTAACAGGCATCTTTCTTACAGGTTTTAACCATAAGACCAGAAGTTGTTTAGTTTAGTTACAGAGATGACTTAAAACAAAAAAGCAACTCATTTGATTAAACAAAGGAAACCTATAGTTTTAAAAGTCAATACTTTGGTTTGATTTACAAGTATTTTTTATTTTTAAAACTTTTTCATTGAATTTATTGTGGTGACATTGGTTAATAAAGTTATATAGGTTTCAAGTGTACAAATCTGTAATACATCATCTATATATTGTATTGTGTGTTTACCATCCAAAATCCAGTTTCATTCTGTCACCATTTACTCCCTTTTTGCCCTCTTCTACCTCCCCTGCCCCTGTTCCCCTCTTGTAATCACCATACTGTTGTCTGTGTCTATGAGTTGTTGGAGTTTTTTGCTTAATCCCTTCACCAATCAACCTTCCCTCTGACAGCTGTCAGTCTCTACTCTTATCTATGAGTCTGCTTCTATTTTGTTTGTTAGCCTATTTTGTCCATTAGATTCCACATGTAAGTGATATCATATGGTACTTGTCTTTCTCTGACTGGCTTATTTCACCTAGTATAATGCTCTCCAGGTCCATCCATGCTGTCTCAAAGGGTAAGATTTCCTTCTTTTTACAGCCAAGTAGTATTCCATTGTGTAAATGTACCACAGCTTTTTTATCCACTCATCTACTGATGGGCTATTGGCTATTGTGAATAACACAGCCATGAACATAGGGGTGCATGCATTCTTTCGAATCAGTGCTTCAGGTTTCTTTGGGTATATTCCCAGAAGTGGAAGCACTGGGTCATAATAAGGCAGTTCCACTTTTAATTTTTTGAGGAAACTCCATACTGTTCTCCACAGCGGCTGCACCAGTCCACATTCCCACCATCAGGTCACCTTCGATTCATCTTAATGCAGAAACTTAGGAATAACAAATCACTTCTGACATCCCACCCAACTGATCAACATATGAGGCTTCACACCATGGTTGGGAAATGCATTATGGGCTAACAATGTGCTGACCTAGTTACCCAACATGACCGTGGACTCAAAAAGAATCTTTGTCTCTAAAGACCTGAGACGCACTCTGCGATGTCATTAGTCTACATACCAGAAGAGGTGCGATGGATGTTAATTGTTGAATTCAGTTCAGGGCTTCCTTGGTCCAAATAAATGATGGCTTCAATGGGAAGAGGCCCTGAACATTCAGCTCCGTTGAACGTGAAATACCAACGCTGGCAGCACGCACTTCTGCACTTTAGCCGGAGCGAGCCACTGAACAGGACTCGGAGCGCACTGTTCGAGCGCATCTTCGTGAATGTGCACTCCTGCCACACACACAGACATGGGGGGCCATTAGCATTCCCAAGTTTATTCAAAAAGATGCTTTCAAACTGGACTGTGACTCTTAAGTACCCTTTACCCCAAGCTACATTTAAAAAGTCTAACCTTTGCAGAGGGAAGAAGATTTTCTGCAAGACAGGTAAGAGACTCTGAGATGAAAAACTCTTTACAAAATCAAGTTATGGCATCCTTAGAATTACTCACCCCACTGAAGGTCTTTCATTTTTACCAAAAACAGCTAGTCTTCAGAATTGATACCAAACCAACCTCTATATTTACTTCATTTTTTTATTACTCCAAAAATATTTCCTGAGCCCTATCTGCTGGATACTATAGATACAGCAGTACACAAGACAGATTCTCTGCCCTCATGGAACTCACATTCTAGACTAGTACTGTGCATATATATTTATTCTTGACCTATTTCTATTTGATCAGCAGCATACAGTATCACAGGTTCAAGCCTAGGTGGGGTTTTTAGTTTTTAACTGTGTGACACAATGATAAGGCCCACATTTTCCCCGCCTCTAATTGGTCTTTGCAAAATTCATCAGTCAATTGGTTCATGGGCCTATCTTTTACTTGCAGAAGGCTCCCAAACCTTTCTGGCCACTGATAAAAGGAACTTGAAAACACATTAATAATTCAGAGACCATAGGGAGAGCTTTTGGAGAGAACTCAACTACAACTTAAGAACTGGTCAATGTCCAGTTTAAAGAAGTAGGCAATATTTAAACAAAATGTTTTTTTAAGAAATCACAAATGAAACTAAAAATGCTCACAGTCACCAAAACCATGGAAGAACTTTTATGGAAATTCTATCACATGAAAATCAAATCAAGACAGTGGCAAAGTTTTTTATAGACAACACTAGAGGCCCGGTGCATGAATTTGTGCACCAGTGGGGTCCCTTGGCCTGGCCTGTGGGATTGGGCCAAAACCGGCTCTCCAACATCCCCTGAGGGGTCCCAGATTGCAAGAGGGTGCAGGTCAGGCCGAGGGATCCCTCCGGTGCATGATCAGGCCAGGGAGAGACAAGGGAGGTTGGCCAGCCAGGGAGGGACCAAGGGAAGGCTCCAAGGCATGTCCGACCTGTCTTGCTCGGTCCCTATCGGCCACACCCTAGCAGCAAGTTAACCTACCAGTCAGAGTGTCTGCCCCCTGGTGGCCAGTGCATGTCATAGCAAGCAGTTGAGCGGCCTTAGCATATCATTAGCATGTTATGCTTTGATTGGTTGAACGGCTAACTGGTCAACCAGGTGACCGGACACTTAGCATATTAGACTTTTATTATATAGGATAGCAGACATTTAACAGCTGAGATAAGGATTGGGGCTAACACATAAAGATTAAAACCTTAGAGTTGTATGAAAATAAAGTCTCTTCTATCTGCCTAGTGATAGTAGTGGTTAATATCATGAAGTAATATATTGTCGATATGGAACCATGTACAGAGTTTGTTAACAAAGGAAGAAAGGCTTAGAAATAGCACCAACTTCAACTCTATGAATCCCAGTGGACTTGCCAGTTACTTTAGAAAAGCAAACACTGATCAAAGTGACTGAGTCATTAATCAAAATGCATTGCCAGCCAGGCTATTGTGAGTAGCTTGGCCCCTCAGTGTTGCAGAATAATGTACAATGGTCACTGTAGTCCATCTCTGGTCCATCCCACTTCTCTCAGGCTGAGCAATGGTAAGCTAGGCCTCTACCCAGAATAAGGGCAAATACCAAGGGCCTTGCCACTGCCAGATGATTCCCATCATGTGGTAAACTTCTTAGAAATTCTTCCCACCGTTATGTCTGGAGCCACAGCAGGATTTTTTCGACAAACTTAAATTTACTTCAAGATAGATTGGAAAGTTGCTTACTGTCCAATCTTGTGAACAAAGACATGCATGCTCTCCCTTTTTGTTTGCATTTTAAAAAATAGAGTAAGTTATTTGAGGTTTTTAGGGTTAAATATCTTAGAAATATTTTTATAAAATTAACTCTGAGATGTTACCAATTTTTCTCATTAATTTTAAGTTAAAGTTACATAGTACCTCCTTAATTTTTAAAAAAATATTTTGGTAAAAACAAATAACACAAAATCTCACTAAAATGAACATTCAATTATGAAAACCCTTAATTTTTTTTGTGTGTGTGTGTTGTTGTTTTTGTTTTGTTAATCCTCATCTGAGGATATTTTTTTCCATTGATTTTTTAAAATATATTTTTATTGATTTCAGAGAGGAAGGGAGAGGGAGAGAGAGAGAGATAGAAACATCAATGATGAGAGGGAATCATTGATTGGCTGCCTCCTGCACGCCCGCTACTGGGGATCAAGCCCACAACCCGGGCATGTGCCCTAGGCTGGAATCAAACCCAAGACCCTTCAGACCACAGGCCAACACTCTATCCACTGAGCCAAACCAGCTAGGGCTCCATTGATATTTAGAGAGAACAGAGGGGAGGGAGGTGAGAGAAAGGAGTGGGAGGGAGAGAAAGAGAGAGAAACATTGATGTGTGAGAGACACATCTATTGGTTGCCTCCTGCACGTGCCTGGACCGTGGCTGGGAATCAAACCTTCAACCCAGGCATGCGTGCCCTGGACTGTGAATCGAACCTGCAACCCTTCGGTGCGTGGGCCGATACTCTGACGACTGTACACTACCAGCCAGGGCTGAAAACCATTAGGTTTTGCTTCAACTTTAGAATAATTCTGATTTTACTTACCGCAATTTTTCCAAGATCGATGCCATAATTCAGCGAATTCCACGAGCACTGCTTGTAGTTAGGTGTCCAGGACTCCTCGAAGGTTTCCCGCAGGCACTCCCCCTTTTCTCCTTTGAATCCATCCCGACCTGGGATCCCAGGGGTACCAGGAATGCCATTGGCCCCAGGGCTCCCGTCTCGACCAGGTACACCCGCAGGCCCTTGTAAGCACATTCCGTTATACTAGATCGGTGGGAAGAGGACAGGAAGAGAAGCTGTCACCACTCAAGATTCAAAGACTCGATCTGATTAGAACTGCATTTATTCTGAGTCCTTGGAGGCCAGAATCTTTTCATACCCCTTGCTCATGTTCTAGACGAGTTATTATAGAGAACTGACTTTAAAGTTATTTCTAACATACTGTGATTTCTTTAAATTGCACAGACTTCACATTTTTTTACGTGGAGGATGTGTCACAGGGTAACCCTTCTGAGCGCCACCCACTCCTCCTCCCTGAGAGGGAGCAAATGACCTTATTTGTGACTACTAGCCTCCAACAGGTGGCAGTGATCTCTCAAACATCTTGAGGATTCTCTGTTTTCCTTGGCAGGGAGGGCAGGGGCGTGTCTCGCAGAAGTTAAGTACATGGATTCTAGAGCCTGGTTCTCTGGATTTTAACCCTGACTCCGCCACTACTAGCGCTGTGAGACAGCACAAGCTGCTCGAGGTACTAGTGCCTGCTTCCTTCTCTGTAAAATAACAAAGGTTCTTACCTTGTAGGGTTTGTATGAGATGTGAAATGATATCCAACGTGTGCTTAGAGGTGCCTGGTACACAGTAAACACTGCGTATGTCAGCCATGGTTACTCTCATTATTCCCCCCAGAGCATGTGAGGCAGTGACCTGGGCAAGTGTGACCACCCCCTTGGGTGGGCCTTACCAGGGTCTAGATCTGGAGAAGACAGCATTAGCGAACCCTCCAGTTAACACACAAAAGCCACACACACCAATGCAATTACATCAGTGGGAAAGGTGGTATTTCGATCCCCATCTGTCAAATTCCTGAATGGGTCCACTTAATAGACCCTCCAAATCTAGACCCAATCCACTTACATTTTTACTTTAACATCTTCCCATTTGTGTAGATTGTCACAATCTACAATTCTATACAACTATACTATCATTCTATATCAATATATTGTCCAAGCCGAACAAAACACCAGGTTCCTTATATATTAAAATAACTTCAAAGCTTATCTTTTACGTTCCCCCTCTTGGAATAGACATGGTCATATTCTAAAATCCAATAACGACACCTTATGTCTCTAATGTTTGCCAATCAATTTGCTTTTCACATCACCAATTTAATTTTTGTTTTGACAGGTGATTTTTGTGATGTTGACGAGTGCTCTTTTTCTGATTGTAAGGAAAAAAATGCTTTTCACATCACCAATTTAATTTTTGTTTTGACAGATGATTTTTGTGACGACGAGTGCTCTTTTTCTGATTGCAAGGGGAAAAGGACACTACCGCTTATTTACTGCCAGAGAAATAGTAAGAAAAGCAACAAAACTGCAAAAGTATTAGAAAACATGCTAAAGTATAAAATAGTCTAAAACAGTGTAGTTAATTGTAGACAATTTTCATTTCAGTAATTTCATTCACTGACACTAGCAGATACACATAATGTTTGGACACAGATTTCTAGTGAAAGAGGAGAAGCAATAAGACTCCTGGGATTCTTTGATTTCTTGGTTGCCACAACTTGGAAGGAGAGATTGCTCTTAGCATCGACAAGGAGTAGAGGCTAGGGATGATGCTAAAAGTGCTACAATGCACAGGGCAGTCCTCACAACAAAGAATCATCTGCCCCCAAATGTCTACACTGCCATGGTGGAGAATTTTTATCCACCTTTTAATCTAAAAATTGCATTTCCGAGACCACATCATTGTATTGAATTTGGTTTCACAGGTACCACATCAGTCTTCTTGCACTTTAAAATGCTAACTCAGCCCACCTTTAGCACCTACCAGGGCGGGGTAAGATAAACATCTGTGCAATGAGCCCCTGTTTCTTTCACTGGACTGGCCACCAGGGGGCAGAACTTGCTGGAAGCTTGAAAGAAATGCTTTGAAAGATCCTGTACAAAGAAGTTGCTTTATAGAGTCTGTTGAAACTTTCTATGTGGACCTCTCTCCCCTCCCTCCCTCCCCTTCTCCCCCTCCAGCAAAACCAAATCCAAGCTACAGGATGCACCTGAGCTTGGCTGCGTAGTAAGCTTTTCCAAGTCGGGCTAGAGTTGTGGGAAACCGCAGGTTCTGTAAATCTTGGGAGGGAAAGAAAAAAATTGCTAGCTTGATGGGGGAAAGGGTTATGTTGTAGATCATAACTACAAATTCACAAAATGCAAACTCCACAGGAACCACATTCAGTTGGTACAGTTTAAAGCAATTTGGGCATTTAACATGGGACGGCAGCGCTGAGCACAATTCTGCTCTGTGGAACAAAATTACACGGCACATCACCAGAAAGGGCCGTGTGAAATGGCAGGGATTTTTTTTTTTTTCTCAGAGCTTTTGAATCTGGTTGACAGCTAGCTGCCTGGGAGCTTGGTTTATTAGCTGCATTTACAAGGGCAGCTTAACATATACGAAACAGGTTTGTTTTGTTTTTAAATTTAAAATGTCCCCTCTCGTGTCTTGCAATGCCTGTACACCATCCTTGTTTGTGATTAAGATTGATTTTAAGGATTGACCATATTATGTGCCAAGGCCTATGGTAGTTGTGACAGGATCACTCTTGCCCTCCCCCTGTTTGTTGACTTTTAGAGGGAAAAGGCCTTAAGCAAACACACGTTCCCATCGATGAGCCCTTCAGAAAGCACTTGGGCTACTTATTTGCTCTCCTGGAAACGGTCTTCTCCCTCCGCTCAACTGTGATGCTGGTACCTGGTGACCACAGGGGAAGACCGGGGGGTGTCCGAAAGCGCTGGCGGCCTATCTGTCCAAACAGAACCATGAAGCGGGTCCTTGGAGGGTTAGTGCTGGGCCCTTCATTTCCCCTTCCGGCCATAAACCCTCAGAACCACCCGGGCCCGGCGGGCTGTGGTCTCCAACCAAGTAAATTGCAGCCCATGCGCCCTGGGAGGATGACCCAACATGACTCATGGTCTTCAAGTTACAAAGCGCTGGAGGGAGGCTCTGCAAGGGTTTTTGCTCTCTCTGGCCGGCAGACGTGGCCACCAGTCCCCACAAAGGCCACGTTGCATGTCCGGGCTCAGCCCACCCAGGGAATCAGTCCGTCCGGGGTCTCCAAGCACCTCCCCACGCTCCTCACCCTCCTCTCGGGGCTGCTCTAAGCCTGGCCATCCTCACAATGGGGTGAAGGCCCGGAGGGCTCAGAGGCCAGGCTTATTGGGCAGATCCCTGTACTTTGGGGCATCCCACCCGTTGCATCTCCGCTCAAACATGACCCCCTCCTCCCCCCCCATTCTGGTCTCCCCTGAGCGCCCCAGGTCACCAGCCACTACACGTAGCCCAGGTCCTTCCCTGCACGTAGACTCGGACAAAGCAGAACACCCAGGCGCACGCGGTAAGTCACACACACACACACACACACACCGCACAGACCGCCTCCTCTCCGTCCCCCGCACTCACCAGGTCCACCACCTCCCGCTGCCGCAGCAGCGCCTTCTGCTTCACCTTGGGGGTGTCATTGGCGCTCGCCGGCGCCGGCAGCTGCAGCAGCAGGAGCAGCAGGAGCAGCAGGAGCGG